ATTCGCAATCAAGTTTTTCACTTCAAATCTTCATTCTTGTGTTTCATCATATCAAAAGGAGATAAAGGAAGTGAAATTTAAGATAAAGTTCATTCATTTCAACCCTCATTCCTCTCATTAATCTTATTTTTAAGCAAAAAAAAGGGCACGTTGTAACCGAAAGTTTATTTCCGAAATCTATATGAACTCGTCCGAATATACATTTTGATAGCTGTATGTACTGATTTTCCAACAATCTTATTTGTGTTATGGATGTTTCTTAGTTTATATGTCTTTGTTTACATTAGGTATGGTGCATCCTAATGTTATCCCCAAATCTATTGTGTCTCAAGATGTTTCACCTATCCTAGTGAAGATGGTAAATATTCAAAACCATTTTAAAAATGATCAAGAAAATGAATTTTGTGATGACATGTTGCAGCAGATTCGTACAGAGGCCACCAAACTAGGGTTTGGTATTGTGATCGAAAGGTCTGTAATGGTTCAAATAGAAGAAATTCATTTGTGACATTGGGAAGTGAGAGAAGTGTAAATATAGACCTCCCCTATGAAATTTGAAATATGATGAAACATGTTCAATAAAATGTGAATGTTCATTTAAGTTACGTGGTTATCGGTTGGCAAATAATAAATAGAGATTTAATGTGATATATAATTTACATAATCATGATTTATATGCAAAATTAGTCGGTCATCCAATTGCATGTCGGCTCTTACCAGAAGAGAAGGAATGTGTTTCCGACATGACATTAAATTTGGTACCTCCCAAAAACATACTTGCAACCTTGAAGCGCAAAAGACCCAGGAATATCTCAAATATCAAGAAAATGTACAATAGGCGCTATCAATCCAAATTAGCGCTTAGGGGGGATCGAACTAAAATGCAACACCTCTTGAAACTTCTAGATGATAACAATTATATTTCTAGGCACTGGAGATGTGAGGATGGAGTAACAGTAAGATATATATATATATATATTGGACTCATCGTGATTCTATTAAATTGTTAAATATGTTTACCATTGTGCTTATAATTGATTCAACGTATAAGACCAACAAATATAGGTTTCCCTTATTAGAAATGGTTGGTGTTACGTCTACTAAGAAGACGTATTCAGTTGGTTCTGCATTTCTAGAGTGTGAAAAAAGGATAATTTTGCTTGGACTTTAGAGGTTTATCGGTCAATGTTGAAGGACCAAGAAGAAATGCCGAAAGTCATTTTTACTGACCATGATACCTCATTAATGAATTCGGTTGCAACAGTATTTCTGAATTCTTATGCAACATTACTAAGAATGTGAGAAGTCAGGTTAAACTTGCAGTGGGGATAAAATAGATAGAAGTCGAAGATGGAAAATTGGTCAAGACAAGCATTATTGTGGAGAAAATTATGGATGCATGGAATGTTATACTAAATGCGTCTAAAGAGCTATATGTTGATGTTGTTATACATTTCAGGAAGGTGTGCGTGAAATATTCCAATTATTGAAATATGTTGAAAGCACAATTTTGGACTAGGTAAAAGATAAGATTGTTTGAACTTGGAACGATCATGTTATGTACCTTAGAAATACAATAACAAACCGAGTTAAGTTTGTTCATGCTTGTTTGAAAAATTTGTTGGAAAATAGCAAAGGTGATTTGCATGCGGATTGGAAATTTGTGAATCAAATGATACTAAACAAGCATAATGGGAAACATCATTTGGTCGTAGTATTATGGTTTTGGAACACATATTCAAATATAACATTCTATATTCTAAGTGGTAGAGAACATATCTCGATCAACTCTGAATTATATTTTTCACGAAGCCAAAAGAGCTGGTAATTTAGGTTCAGATAGCTGAAAGTATGGTTGTACACTTATGAGAATATATGGTCTCCCATGTGCTTGTGTTATATCTAAGAAGGTAAAACTTGATAGCCCAATACGAATGGACAAAGTTTGCAGTCATTGGAAAAGGCTTTGATTTGATGATGGCGGTATTAGAAAAGACGATAAATCAAATATCTCCATCTTGGCGGAATGGGAAGCAAAACAAGAAAGATTTTTGAAAGCCGATAAAAACACGGAAGTTCATATCAAAGATAAATTAAGGAAGATTTCATTTCCGAACACCGACTTGAAACCACCCTCTCAACCGGTAAAAACAAAAGGAACACCTAAGAAGGTCAAACCTACACCATGTGACAATTCAACAATGAGGAGTCCATCATATTTTGAACATGTTGACAAATTTTTTCCCGATTCATTGAATCTAAAAGCTCAAAAAAATGTTTTCAAAGGAGCTCGCGTTAGCAAACCACTTCCTACACCGCCTCCACCAAAAATACCATACATCGAAGAAATGCCAGTTTTTATATTAAATTAAATTAAACAGATCGTCAGTCTAAGGGGTGGCAGTAACTGTGGTTTTTGGGTTGTTTCTGCTTTACTCGGTAAATGGGAAAAATATCATACACTTGTCTGCCATACTCTTATCAAAGAGTTGAGGAACAATAAAGAATTATACACACGAGTTTTCAGGGATAAAGAGAAAGTTGAAGAAACTTATCACTCTTTTGTACCTTGCATTAGTGGACCTACACCGAAGGATAAATAGATGCGCTTCTCTAAGATGGATCATCTCATAGAAAGTACATATGAGAGAATGTGTATTGATCTTACAAGATATGGTTTCTCAGAAAAAATTTTCCTGTTGCGCACTGCTTCACCTCCAAATCCCAGTGATCGTATCATTTGTGTTGGTTGGGTTTCAAATCCGCAACTTTTGTTTAAGTTTATTTGAAACCAGAATGTCCTTTAACACTTACATCACTGAAGTGGGCAGCTCATTATACAATTAAATCTGAAAATTGGTTAGATCAATTTATTGAAAGGATGTGAGAGTACACTAAATTATGCAACATTAAAATAATTAAAAAAAAAAGAAGTCAAAGTGAGGTACCACCTATAGATTTGAATGACAAAAATTAATTCGGTTCATTTAAGTAGTTATTTATCATTTTATTGTAAGTGATATTTTGTTAATGTGTCATGGTGTCTAATATAAGCATTTTGTAGTTTGACAAAAAAATTCAGCATTCAATACAAGTTTTGTTTCTGCTTTCTAATACCAAAAAATATCCAGAAGTACAACTCTGAAATAAACAAACTAAGGGTGGCTCCGAAGTTACATTTTCAGAATTTTCTCTATCACAAGATAGGGTTTGTGTGGTCCATATTAGCATCCACTACTATAAATAAGCTCACTTGTCATGTTGTTTCGTATCAAAATACAGAAAACCAGAATTAACATCAAATGACATGTTGGAAATATTCACTTTATCGAAAATATGTCATCACGAGAATTTAAGATCATCGAGTACACCCTTCTCGAAGATCTGCAATACATATTGCATGACCTTAAATCATATGGCGACAATTGCAAAATTGTGAAGATCGAGTACTGCTCGCCATCCATTGACAAAGACGGGAAGTTTGAGTTCATCAACCATAAGCTGAAGACGACCGCTCATTTACGGGCTATGTGGAATACTTTTTCCCGTTTAGAATCAAAAGTTTCGATCGAGCTGGATGCAAGAATTTCGAGATCGGTTGAAGATATTATGAAGATGTTACAACGCCCAACTGAATATTGAAGTGTAATGTTTAATCTATGTTAAAGTCTCTTATGTATTGCTTATTTTATGATATCAATGGTATTTTGATTTTGTCAAGTTGATGTTTTTCCATTCTGTTATTCTACTTTCAGCTTGCAAAATTTCAGAAATACACATGCGACGTTATTTCAGAAATGCATCTTCGGAATAATTTTTGATTCAGTAAAGGATTAGTGCGTCCGAAAATACATCTCTTAAATTTAAAAATATTTAATTATTTTCATGTGGTGCGCTTGAAAGACATAAAATGTGTTAAGAAATTCTCAAAAATTTTCTTCTTGGTGTTTCTTTTGGGTCTTAATTATATTCTTTTATTAGGCTTGTTTTCTTTTAATTCACCTACGTCTTGGATCATTGTAAAACAAAATGTTTGAATCATCTCATGTGCATTTTTGCATGCTATCTTCGAACTGCATTAACATATTTTTTTTCTCTTTCTTTAAGACTAACTAGTATGATAGCCGTGATTTCGCATAGGAACTGACTTGGTATCCACGATTTTTTTGTTGTAAAAATGAATAATATAATAAAAAAAATATAATGTTGTCATAATAAATTGGACCAACAGAAATAATATATTATTTATAAAAGAGATAATGTTTTGGTTTCAATTTTGTTCTCCGTGTATAAAATATTTTAATCAATATAATTATTTAAAAAAAAAAAAAAACAGTCAAACAGAATTGTTTTACAACATCTTATTTATATTTAAAAATAAATATATTTAAAAAATAAAACTAAAACTTTCTTTTACTATCATAATTAAACATGAATCATATAAACTTCAATTTACTATATATGACTTAATATAATATTATATATGAACTTAACAAATATTTTTAAATAAAAAAATCATTAATGGTTTAGTTAGAGTTTTTAGCTAATATAGAATTCGTAAAATAATATATACTTGATTTTTCAACACATGTACATTATAACTTAAATATTTAAGTATTATAGTATTTAATTTAAAAGTGTATAAAAGAATTTATAAGTCTAGTGATAAAATTATAAAAAAGTAACTCATTCTAAATAATCTACCATATATGCATGTAAGATGAAATAGCACGTGTTGTTTTATCAAAGAAATAGTTGGAACTGAAAAGGCACATTATAATAAAAAGAGTATTAAATGAGTAATATTAATTGAGACACAAATCTTTTGTCTTTTATATATCCTTTAGTATATCAAGAGAATAAAAAATAGTTTTTGTGTCAACGTCGTTAACCTAAAATGCACTGAAAGTCCACATCATTGTCTCTGTCTATAAAAATCTTAAAAGCCACACCAACACAGACAAAGTCATCTTCTTCTCGATTTCCAAGGTTATCAAAAAATGACTAATGAAAACTTAAAGTGGTGTTCTGTTGGGTAAGGAAAACGTGTATTTCTTCATTATTTTCTTATTTCGATATTAAATTTTTAAGGTTTACTTGCATGCTGATTATGATCATCGTTCTTGATGTTCCTGGTTTTTATGCAGTGGCTTTGTTGGGGGATCTTTGGAATGCATGCCCCCCGATCCTGTGTGGATCAAGCTTGTTACGAAGAAAGTTATTTTAGGTTTATGTGAGAAGCTTAATATTGCTGAAGAATGGAGCAAAAACTATGTTGCTTCAAGAAATGGGCATGCAGTAGCCGGTGGTTCTGCGAGGTATGATAGATGTTATGTGGGAATGCATCAAACATATAAAAATCTGTAGGAATGAATGACTTTATGTGTGATATTCTGCTTAACTTTATTGCATGTCATTTTATCTCTACAGATCCAGTTATCGTAAGGTTCCAAAATATACCCATGACCAACTCTTAGATAAGTTCTATGAGTATGAAGAAGCTGAGAAAGACTATGAGCTAAGAACTGGCAAGACCAGAAAGTCTTTGTCGAAGAAAGAATTCTTTGAACTTGCTATTGATGAGGGATGCCTGGATGATGGTTCAGATGCAGTGGTCGAACCAACATATGGGGAAAATGAAGTGGTAGCTGTTGCTGACTGCATATAAGATAAGAGGAAGGGTGTGGCCATTGAAACTCAAAGTCACATTAGTATATCTTCAGACAGTTCAGCGTAAGTTATTTTACTAACCGTTCAGAGTTAAACTTCATAACCTGGTATAGTTTCTCATGAAGATGTGTTTGTGTTGTTAAAAATAAACTGTTACTTCAGATTTGAATAAAATTACTTTTTTATGGACGTAATATTGACAAATGTGTGTCTTTCTATAATGATTTAAACGGGTTTTTTTTACCATAATTAACATTCGTTTCATATCTTGGATGAGATGTTGGTGCAATGATGAACAAAATATGGATGCTGATATGATACAGTCTGTTCCTCAACATGTAATACATGATTGCAGTTGGTATAAAGTGGTGATGAGTAAAAGGAAGATCAGAACTCAAGTTCTTGTAAGTTGTTTTAATTGTTGCTCCTTGGGACATAAAGATGATTCTATAAGTAGTAAAACTCAACCCTGTGTTATGTTTAATTTGTAGCAAATTTATGTTGATGTCATCAAGGAAATATTTATGGAGCCACATACATCTATAGAACTATTTGATACGGATAAGGGAGTTCCATATCCATGCGTGTTCAAGAGTCGTGACAAAAAGATTGAGGAGTTCTTGTCCAAAGGTTGGTATAAGTTTCTGAAAGATAGAGATTTGTGTGAAGGTGATGTAGTTCATTTCAAAGTATGATACCCTCTAGTGAACCATGTGTTGATGAATGTCGTAAAATGACAACAGTGATAGAGTATGGTTATGATATTAAGATGAGCAGCATTTATGTTTGGAGGACTGTTTGTTTTGAGAAACATGTGTTGTTATTTCTTCCTTTGGAATAGTTTAGTCTTTATAAGATGTTTGAATTAATTATGTAATGTTTGAAGCAGTTATGTAAGAAGTTCCCATGTGAAACTAATGATGTTCCTTGCTTTAATGCAAATGTTTTTGGTAAACATATTTCAAGTTATGTAAGTTTAATATCACATTTTGTGTGTACCAAACAAATATCAGTACCCGAAAGTTTTGGTTATGTATTATAATATTTGTAGAAGCATTATGTTATACAGCTGATGCAGCCCATGGATTCCAGTTACTTCTATTGTCCATTCTCACATAGAAGTATGTAGTATTGTTCATTGGGATGTTGTCTTTAAATGCATTATCCCCATTTTGTGATGTAGTTGTGTAAAACCAAGTATGTTCCTTTTATCAACATCTTATTTTTGAACAAATTTGAAGTACTTGTCATAATGTTTGAGGATATATTTGACAGATTATGTTTATATTTAGAAAAAAAATAGATATTCCATGAACATTAGCTATGTCCGAGAATTAAATAGCCAGTTAATACAGTTATTATACATAAATTAGTTTGTATTTATGTTTTGCACAAACTTTACCCATGTATAAATATTTCAGGAAAAAATTGGTCATGTTTGCGTATCACACTGTTAATGGTAGCACAACTACCATGAATCTTGAAGAAGATGAAACAGTTAGAAAAGTAATTACAGCATAACAGAATTCTGTTATATGCCAACTGTCAAATCTTTATTAGTTAATTAAGATTACAAGAGATGTTTATATATATATACAAGGATAGCTTATCTAATACACTAAGCTGATGTGGCAATTAATAGAAAGGGAAAAAGAAGCTATGCAAAATACTAACAGCCCCCCTCAAGTTGGACTTTGGATGCTACAAAGACCTAACTTGAGCAAAGACTTCTTGAGAGCTGGAGAATGCAGAGGCTTAGTGAGCATATCAGCCAGCTGATCATGAGTAGAGATGGAATTGGCTTGTGAGGTGAGTTTGGACTGTTGTATTAATTCCAGAATGCTTTGGTATTGCTCCTGAGTAAAGCCAACCATGGACTGAGCTGAATGCTGCTGTGGTGTACCCTGACCTGTTTCAACAGAAGCAACTGATTGAGAGTGAGTAGCTTGAGTAAAAACTTTGCCTTTACCTCTAAAACCTGGTGGATATCCATGTTTAGTGAAGCATGTTTCAACAGTGTGATTAGTCCTCCCACAATGAGTACACACTCTGCTATGGCCTTTTGAAGCTCCATTTCCACCATTTCTGCCTTTGAAGTAAGTGTTGCCATTTTTGTTGGAATTGCTGCCAGAAGAAGAATTAATGTGCAAAGCTGTGGATTCTTCAGTAATGTTGCTATTTGAGATAACAGATTGAGAGCTATTGAGTTCTCTTTCTTGTTGAATAACAAAGGAAAAGGCTTTCTCTATATCAGGTAATGGCTGCATCATCATGATTTGAGTCTTGGACTGCATAAATTTCTCACTCAATCCTTTAAGAAAGCGTATAACATAGTCTTGTTCTCTATACGTTCGAATTGAAGCAAGCGCTCCACATGAACAAGGTATAGCACAAGAACAAGCAGCGATTGGCCTATATGCTTCTAGTTCATCCCACAGAACTTTCATTTGTGTAAAGTAATTTGATACATCAAGATTACCTTGGCGGAGTTTGTACAAGTCCTCTTGTATATCAGAAATGCGGAATATGTCGCCGTGTGAGAAACGGATCTTCAGATTTTTCCAAACATCTACTGCATTTTCAATCCACAAAATCGACCTAGCAATAGAATCAGAAATGGAACGGTGAATCCAAGCCAAAACCATTGTATTGCATCGAATCCAAGGAGCATAAAGCACATCTGATACTGGTGGTTTGGGAAGAGTACCATCAATAAATTTTTCCTTGTTCTTGGAAATCAGTGCAATGTTCATTGACCTAGCCCAAGTATGATAATTCTTGTCGTCAAGAACAGGGGTAACAAGGACTAAGGCTGGATTTTCATTTGGATGTAAGTAATAAGGGTTTGATGAATTTGTGGAAAAATCTGTGAAGCTCTGGTAAGCCATCAATGGAGTAAACAAGCAGAAAGGCGATTGCGAAGAAACGGTAAACCAGATTGCAAGAAAACGAACCGATAATCAATCAAGAGAAAAGGAAGAAGATGAAATCGGTGAAGCAATCTAAACAAGAACAGAGGAAAACGGACCAGAAAGAGGCAATCGGAAAGGATGCTATTCAACGATGGTTACCAGAGCTTTGAAAGCTCTGATACCATGTTAATGGTAGCACAACTACCATGAATCTTGAAGAAGATGAAACAGTTAGAAAAGTAATTACAGCATAACAGAATTCTGTTATATGCCAACTGTCAAATCTTTATTAGTTAATTAAGATTACAAGAGATGTTTATATATATATACAAGGATAGCTTATCTAATACACTAAGCTGATGTGGCAATTAATAGAAAGGGAAAAAGAAGCTATGCAAAATACTAACACACACTAAAAAAATCAAACTATAGCTGAAGAAATCTAACTTGTAATACATTTTTAAGTGATTTTACCCATCATATCAGTTAGGATGCAACTGAAAAATGGCAAAGAAATTATATCTCTATAATAAGATAGGGGTACATATTTCAGGTAACATGTTGAAGTATGGCCATATTGTGTTTGAGTGATTGGTATGGATTGAAACTATTGTTGACATTAGATTAATAAAGACTAAGTATTCTTAATAATTGCCCGGTTTGGCATGGTATCGGTTTCTATCATGGACCGGACAGCAGGGAAACTTTAATTGAAAAAATGTTTGATCTTGTAAAGAAGAGAAAAAAACAATTACAATATTAGGAGATAAATTAATCCCAGGTACAAAGTTTGTATTTCTACCATATATAAAAAATCAAACATTGTTATGTTTAAATGTTTATTACCAATCAAACATTGTGGAAAACTTCTTTCTAAACAACATTGGTCGTAGTAGATTTGGCGTTCATTTTGTCACCATGTATCAAAATCTTGATCCCCTTTTTGTAGTAACTCTTGAAAGGGAAACATAGATTTTACCGTGAGTGAAAACATCCCTTGGAATATAAAGTCCCACCCAATCCAAACTTTGACATTGGGATTTAACTATTGTCATTGCGTATGAAACCATTATTGGGAATTGACGACGGTTTAGTTTGAAAGGCCAAGGAGAACCAGACGGGGACATATCCATCCGGGGAATGTAAATAAATTTTCCATTGTTTATCCCACCCATCATTGTTGCTTCAATTACATGATTTCCAATCTTTGTAACGATAAGCCTTGTATCGTTACACAAACCTTCTGATTGATCAATGTTCCTCATAAGCATGATTGAAGTTTCGACCTTTAATTTGATGTGATGATTCAATAGGCCAGGTGTTTTTAGAGAACTTAGAAACTCTAGAATTAGAACATCAACAAAGTTATTGTCATGTATTTAGGATCAATCTACAGAGTTGGAGCTGTAGTAATCACGCAACTCACCAACACATGAGATACATCAAAAATCTCAGCCCAATACCCATATGTTATACTGAAATAACATATTCCAATAGTGCTTCGAATAATGAAATATGACAGTATGGAAAATGTTATTCAGATAATAAAAACAATTGATTATGTGGTAATAATCTAAAATAACATAAACCTGACATATTTCCAAGAACATGATCATTAATCTGATCAACAACTTCCAGTGTTAATGTAAGTATGACCCGACTTTTGAGGTAGCCGTATGACTTATAACTTTCAATGAAATCTAGATAAGTGTTGTTCACAATTGAAATAATTGGGTCGGTAAAATTAATTATTAAAAGTTCCGGTGGAACGTTGATTTCTACAAATCCGTTATTTGGTTTAGATACTTTTCCTTCGCCAATTTCCAGCAGCCAATTCGAGAAGCTCGCTATTTCATGTCTTTCTTCCTCACTTGGTCCAGATTGTAGATGCATGTTCTTGGTTAAAGTTAGAACTTGAATAGAATGCAATGTATAAGAAGCATTTATTGAAGAGTGTACAATATCAGAACGACTACCCCTGAGTACCACTGGAAAAATTTGTCTAAAGTCACCTCCGAATACAACAATTTTTTCCACCAAAGACGTTCTTAGAATCAACGTAGGTACTTATGACATCCTTTAATGTCCCATCAAGAGCCTCAAAAGAATGTTTATGAGCCATGGGTGCCTCGCCCCAAATTATCATCTTGGTTTGCCTTAGAAGTTCTGCGACGTCGTCGCCGTAGTTAACCTTGCAAGTAAAATTGTCCAAAGTTGGTACAAGAATTTTGAATTTTAAATGGACCGTTCTACCGCCAGGTAACAAAAGAACTTCTATACCACTTGTTGCAACTGTTAGACAGATGTCATGTTTTGATCTCACAATACTCGTAAGTGTTCTCCACATGTAAGTCTTTCCTGTTCCTCCGTAACCATGCAGGAAGAAAACTCCGCCTCTTTGAGCATTGACCGCCGAAATAGCAATGATACTTAAGTTTTCACCAGTTGAAAAAGTCATCATACCTATCAAACATAAACCAACCACAAAACAATTGTTGAAATGCAATGACAAAATTAATAGAACATCATCTATAGTACATCTGAGTCCATCGAAGAGTGTTTTAAATTCTTCCTTCATGGTTGGGATATCATAACCGCTCTCTTCATATATTAGGAGATTTCCCAACTGTTGAATAACATAATTATCTGGATATGGTATGGGTTTGAAATCTTTAAGACTTCTATGATTGGCCTGAAGCAAAGTTTCCAGCGTAAGTAATGTAAAATGTTGCAACTCCATATCACTCAACAACAAGTATGTTATGAAGATTAATAACATGTTA